CTCTTGTCCTCAAACTGCTATTTTCTTTATTAATTCCACAATGACAGTCTTTTGTATGTACCCAGTCTTTTTAAACCTGTGTATAGTGGCTCATTAATGAGTTGTAAAATAAGTTTAGTGAGTTATGACCAACATAAAAAAATAGGAAAGAGTAGGAAACATTCCATGTACTGCACATAAGTACTTTTATTGTAAGCACACATATTATACTATGTTACAATAAAAAGTATATTTTTTGAGCATCCTGGTCTACCCATCTTCAGGAGGCAGAAACACCTGTGGTGTCCGTCTTGTGGCAGCTCCTAGCCTGCTTCTTCATAAAAGTCTTACAATTCAGTATATTTATATTTCATACGTCCTTGGGCTCCCCAGAGTATGAGGTCCTAACTGGAGCCCAACTTTTATTAGAGCCATCAACGTGGTATCCAAACCAATAAGTGAATGCTGACTAGAAAGAGCCCTGCTTGCATATATGCAAGCAGCATGGTCGAGGGGAAATCTGGAAGTCATTCCTGAGCTCTGACTTGCTGGATCACCACCCCCTGAACCCCTGCAGCCTCAGCACCCAGCCTCACACCGAGCCACCTATTTTGGTAGACTGAATTGCGGGGGGAGGAGAGGCCAGACACAGTGCCCACCATCACCTAGCACTGGCGCTGCTGCCAAACAGCCACTCGTTTTAGCCCTGTCCTCCCCACCGACAGCTCTTCCGGCAAAGCGCCAGCTCATGAAACTTGGCCTCTTTGAAGTGGTGAGCGAGTACCCCTGAAACCATCACCTTGTGTCTGGTGGCATTTCTCCTGCTGCCAGAGCTTAATACAGGGTCATATCCCTTTCCTCTGAGATCTAAAAAAGTAAATTTAATTTTAAACTGAAATTTTTTAGCAGTTGGTCTCTGAAGAATCTTTGGGGTGAGGAGGGGATGCTAGCACTGGTAGAGGATATATGTGCCCTTGAAGATTGGATTCTTTTTTGGAAAACTGCTCACACAGGCTAATCAGCACAGAACTAAATGGCCCTACTCTATCTACCTGCTGACAGGCTCAGCCTCGGATGGGGCTGGAATTAGCTCTCACCACATGGCAGAGACATGCCTTCCTCTCCCCGCCACCTCTTTCGTGCAAATAGGGGGCAATTTGGGGCCTGTCAAATAATACAACTTTGACGTGTAGATAGCCAATAAACAACAGCCCCACCTCACTCCCAACTTGGAAAGCATATTAGCGCTTATGTAAATAGAGAATTGGGTAATAGGTAATTTCCCTGATGAGAACTGGTTTGAAAACCCTTTCATAATTGACGTTCTTTGGGAAATGTTAATAGGCAAGCCCAGGAAATGTACAGATTTAAAGAGGACCGAGGCGAATGACAAGCCTAGTGTCCAGGTAGCCCAGACCGTGTAGCCTCATGTTTCCATCCACTTATGCTGCTATAACCTTTCTGTGAGCAAGAAGGCTTTGGAACATTACAGTCGTGGGGAGATGGCGCTGTGCATTTCAGTTCTGTTTCCATTGCTGTTATCTGTTGCAAAAGGAAGCTTTCCTACCCATTTTGTAAGCCCACAACTGGCAGGAGCTGTTGCAATCGCATTGTCTTCTGATCAACCTCTCCTCGGCAGCAGGCAGAGTGAAGCACACTCTGGCCAAATGGTTGTGGTGAGTTTCAAAATAAAAGATCCCAGCCTGAGCACACCATCTCACTTCCCATCCCACAGAACGGGCATTGTTAACTGTGCCACATCTCTATTCTAAATTTAGGCATCTTTTTTTTTTCCAGGCAAAGATTACTATGCAAACATTTAAGAGAAAAACTTTGCCCAAAGTAATTTCCACCACCCGCCCGCCCCCCACTTCTATTTGGTTTCCTGCAATGTTTAGATGACTCATTCTCTTCCAAGAAATTTTAAAGAAAAGACATGCGGGCTGTATATTAGTGCACAAAGACCACTCTGTAAATCTCTTTTTCTTCCCTGCCTAGAAACCCCTTGCTTTTTTATAGGGAATGGAAAGGCTCTACAGTCTTCATTGTCATGTACTCAGCCTCATCAGGTTTTGTTGTTCCTGGGAATAAATGTCCCCCTTGTCTTTGGGTGGGGCCCCCTTGTGGCTTCCCAGCTAGGTCAGCCCCTCCGCAGTGGCCAGCACGGAAGCCCTTCCTGGGGCCACGCTTTCCACCAAAGGCACACAGTTAAGGTTTCTGAAATAGAGAACGGGTTGCCTTTTATCATCTGTGAAAGGAGAGACGCTGACAATTTCCTGCCTCTCGCCTTGTGTCAGGATTGTGCCTGATTGCTAGGGGCTTTATCGTACATTTTAACTGGGTGAGCTACTTGTGTATTCCCAGCCCAACCCTCAGCCAGAGGGAGCGGTAAGTTAGATTGCTTCAGCAGCCTGTTCAAATAAACAGGGATGATAGTTGAGGGGTCCTCCCAACTAATCAGTACATGAAAGGAAACATCTGCCTGGGCTTAATTGCTATTTTATTGGTTACACTTTCCCCCTTCTCCCCTTCTGCCCCCTTCCCCACTCTGGGACTAAGTTATTCAAGTCATGAGTGAGCAACAGGGTGGAGGAATAGGAGCTTTCTCCTTTAACCTCTGCCATTTAAACACAAGGAAGTAGTAAGAGAGGATGGGAGGCTGGTAGGGGGAGCTGGCCTGGAGGTGGGAGGGCAGGCCAGTGGGAAGTGATACTTGTGGTCACTTCCTGACCCTGTTGCTGACTCTGGGCTGGCGGTGAGTCATTTTGCCTCACTTCACCTCCTTGGGCCTCTGCTGCTTCCGTGAAGCTCAGCTTGTCTCTCAATGGGAAGCAGAGGCTGGTATGTGAGAGCGTAGGTGCAGGGCATTCCCTCTTGTGGCTTCTCCCAGCAGTGGAGGTCATTGGATGGGAGACACGGGGAATGGTGAATTTAAGACTGGCAGGGTGCTCCTGAAGCCATCCGTTTTGTAGAGCATCTGGGTCCCTAAGGAGAACTTGCTCATTATCTTCTGTGCTATGGTGTGTAGCTAACCAACTGTTCACTGAAGGAGGTGGTGTTTGAAACTAACATGGACTCAGGAAGCCAGGCAAAAGATCTTGTAGGATCGCAGAATGGCAAAAGTTGGAAAAGACCTTAGACATGTTTTAGCTGAAGGCTTTCATTTTATGGAAAGGAAAATAGAAGCCCAGAGAGATTAACCAGGTTGTCCAAAGTTATTTCCTTGGCAGTGGAGGAGCTGGGAATAGGAGGAGACTCCTGCAGTTGCTCATTTAGGGCTCTTTCCACCCCTTTCCCCACTACCAGGGGTAAAAAATTCATGCCTGCTCATGACAGAGGTCACACATATGGTATATTTAATAATGAATGTCTTAATAGAGAAATGGACAGAGAACACCTTAATAGACAAGTAGTAAACCATAAAGGAAAAATTAAAATGACTGATAAACATGATTCACTAGAATCAAAGGACTGCAAATTACAATAGGATAGCACATCAAATTGTTAAGACAAGAAAAAAGTGAAATAGCATTCTTACATGCTGCTGGTGCTATTTTAAATAGGTACAGTTTTTCTCAAGGGCAATTTAACAGTATAAATGAGCAGTCTTTGTCCTAGCAATGTTACTTGTGGGAGAAAATAATGAAAAATGTATGCATAGATTATATACAAAGTAATTTAATATACCACATTTTTTATCACGAGAGTTTGGAAACAAAGTAAATGTCCAAGAATAGGAGCTATATCAATACATATTAAAATGCAATAAGGAATAATACATGGGGCAATGCTCACAACATATTTGTGAATAAGTTCAAAACAGTTTATAATGCCATCCCAATTTTGTAAAAATAATAATGAGAGAGATGATTAGAAAAATACATAACAAAGTCTAGAGTGGTGATTTCTTAGTGATAGAAATTAAGGGTTTTTATTTTCTGAGGTTTTCTACAGTTTCCTTATTTATTACAATAAACATATATTACAATCGTAATCAGAAAAAATATTTTTGAGGTAAAGGTGTATGTGTCTTGATAAAAAGCAAGATGTTAAATGAATATATTTCTGACATGAAAGTCCTCTTCCTTTCTTTGCCTAGGAGCTAATCTATGGGGGATGGGGGGCATTATTATGCCTTCTGTTTGGAGGGCATTTTTGGTATCTGAATTTTTAGTAGGAAAGAACCAGAAGGAGTTGGCAGAAGATAAAACAAAGGCTTCCCCTCGCAATGACCCAATGATGCCAATCAGTTTTATCCCCTACTCTCTTGGGCTTGGCATATAACACTCAGTATAGAAGGTGTGACAGTTTCCTTCCTGCTTCCTCATTCTTCTCTATTTTTTGCTGCTCTCTCTATGTAAATGTCAGTCTTGGGTGGCAGCAATAAAGAATCTGAGAACTACTACTGCTCAGAATTAACCAGTTGAAGACCCCTTAACATATATTATCAGAATCAAGTAACATTAGCTAATCTCGCAAGTAGTCAATATTGAGGTACCACTGCCCTGGGGGTTTGGGGTTGAAATAAGGCAAGTGAGAAATATAGTTCCTTTCTGCTTGGAGTTTCCTATTTGGTTAGGGACTTTGAAGTCCTTGAATGTTTATATTCTTTTTCCTATCTCATTCTATCACATACACATCTTAACTTTGCTTTGCAATCCTCTGGAATGCTTGACTTACAAGTATCTGAGCAAGTGTGTTCCACCTAACAACGGTTGCTAGGTAGGATGTGGCTTTCAGGACTGCTCTTTGGGGACCAATAGAAAAATCAAAGGCTACAACCCTCCCTCCACACGATTGCCTTTGCTAGGCTATAGAAAGGGCACATTTCATTTTATTAAAACTCTTTGAGTAATCTGACCATAATTGGGTCTGATTGGAGTGGTTATCTGATTTGCTGGGTTAAATAATGGGCCTTAATTGAGTCTGGGTTATTTGTAGAACTGATGTTGCCTTGCCTTTGTTGCCCCCTCCTTCCTCCTTCTGTTTCCCAATTAACCTTCATTCCTCTTTCCTTGCAGAGTAAAGAAGTCGGCCAGCAGCTCCAAGATGATTTGATGAAGGTCCTGAACGAGCTCTACTCGGTAAATCAGATGGGTTGCTTGGCTCTTTACCAAGCAGAGGGAAGCAGCATTTGGCAGCTTTCAGCCATAGTCACATCAGCAACAGAATTGAACTGAGGTTGAGGACAGTGCATGGTCCCCATTGGGGGTGACCCCACCCATCTCTTTTTTCACATTCTTATTTTCAAAACTGAATGAGCCAAAAAGTACTTTCTCAAAATAAGATTCCTTCTCAGCTGTGCAGGCTGGTCCTGGCTTCCTTTGGGGCATAATCACTAGAGACCATCCGAGGCCTAGGTCACCAGCACACCTGACCCCATTAGTAGCAAACAAGGGACCCTGAACCTAATGGCAAGGAACATAGCCTGCATTGCACCATTAATATGTGCCTCTTGGAAAGGATTTATTATTGTCCAAGGTTTTGCATCAGATCTTGAATTAATCTACAGTTCTGAGACTAGAGCAGGTGCTCTAGAGGGAAGTACAGAGTCCTAAATGCCCCTAATATGAGGGATCAGTGTGCAGAGAGAACTTTGCACCAGCTTCCTGGAGTTTTATAAAGGCCAAAGCTCAGTGAAGAAGCAGGCTGTGGGCTTGGAGAAGAGAACACAATCTGTTCTGAAATGACTGGCACGTTAGGCACATGATGCCTGTGGCTGATGTGTGTTCATTCATGCACTGAGAGGTGGTGGTGGTTGTTTCTCCCCCAGCCATGTTTCATTAATTATCATTAAAATAAACACACTCTCACGCACATGCACACCAAGGAAATTCCTGTTGTCACACAGGGAATACTTAAATTGTACAGCTAACACCTTTCCAGGGACATGTTCTCCAGTTCGCCTGTGCCCGTGCTCTGTGTCATTCTCCAGGGTTGCCCCATCCTGTTTGGAGGTGAAATTGATTCCCTGTGTTTACTTGCTTACTTACTTCCTCCATCTTTCCTTCCTTCCTTCCTTCCTTCCTTCCTTCCTTCTCTCTCTCTCTCTCTCTCTCTTTCTTTCTTTCTTTCTTTCTTTCAATTCACTGAAAGAACAGGCACTGGTGACATGCATCGCAAGCATTTGGGATCAGAGAATTCCATGTTCTCGATCCAGAAGCCTAGGTGTGGCCATTTTGTCATGGCAACTGTTAAGCAAGTAAATAGGGTAGAATCATATGACTTGTCTCCAGTGATGCTCAGTTTGTTTTGAATTTCTACTTGGTGACTCTTCTGCGCCAAAGCCAAGTAGATAGATGGTACCCTTTGGTTCAGCTCCCAAGTTTTCACTTCTCTCAAATGAAGTTAAGGCTTTTTAAAAATAGAAGCACATCGATGCCAACCATTTTCAGACTAGATGGGTTTCCTGAACCTTGTCTTTTTAATGCTTTATTTCTTCTTTTTATTTTTAGAGCATCTACTAGACACCAAGAAGAGCTATTACTCCTTTCTCCTGGCAGAGAATTCCCTAACATAGAAAATGACACATGTAGTCATTATATAAATCCTTTTATTTTCCTGTAAGCATCTTGAGCCTCTGCTATTTGCAGCTGTTTCTAGGGAGGAGTAGGTTGGATAACCAGCAAACTTAAACCATCTCAAACCATTGTGCCACTTCTGCAGTGGGACTCAAGGCAGTGGAGGAAGAATAGTATCTAAGGATCCGTTAGCTTTTACCCAGAGTCCTAGATCTTTTCATATGCAATGATTTAAAAAAATAAATGAAAGTCTGTAAGCTGTGTTGGAGTGAGAAAGAAAAGTCTGGAACTTACTTCTCTGGTCTGAGGAGGGCCGTGCTGCTACCCCTGATTGTACACTTCAGGCAGTTCAATATTGGCCAGCTGCTTCGCTGGCTGCTATAGGGAAGCCACAGTCAAGGCAGAGCCTAAAATCTTCCCACTGGTGTTCAAACTGAGAATTGCTTAAGTGTGCTCTCCCCTGCCATGAAGTGAATTGGTACACACTCTTATAATCTGTCCAAGTCCAAAATTAAAACTTGATTTTTTCCTCTAATAGGAAATGGAAAGTGAAAAAAGGAATAGAAGACACTAGAAAGTTCCAGAGAAGGCAAAACAGTCTGGTGCAGTGATAAGCAGAGTGATTTTTCTCCCAAGGGGATATTTGGCAATGTCTGCAGACATTTTTGGTTGTCACAACTGGAGGAATGGGTGGTGCTACTGGCATCTAATGATTTAGAGGCCAGGGATGCTGCTAAAATCCTGCAATGCACAGGACAGCCCCCCACGACAAAGAGTTATCTGGCCCGGAATGTCAAAACACCAAGGTTGAGAGACCCGGTCTAGTGACTAGAGTCTCCTGAGTTAGGCAACCTAGATTCTACCCTGTCTTGACTACTAGCTATATGAACTTGGGGGATACTCCAAGCTTCTGTGACCCTGGTGTTTCCATATACTCCATGTACTGGTATCTCCATATCCTGGGGACAGGATAGTTGGGGGTTATACTTGCTGAAATATCAGACTATAGTTAAGGGTCAGATGAGTTTGCAGATTCTATAGGCCATTAGAAAGTTCAGAGAATAGACATATGAGTTGTTTCTTCTGGAAGGTGAGATAAGCTTAGGACTGGTCTGAATAAGGCACCATGAGATTAGGGCGACTGTCCCAGTTTGCAGAGAACTAGAGTTTCCTGAGACTTGAGACTTTTCAGTGCTTCAACAGGGGAAAGTCCTGGGTAAAACAGGATGCTTGGTTACCTTGCATAGGATAGCGGTTTCATCAAGCAGGAAGTTGGAGCTACTGTATGCTGGCTTTGGGAAGCCACTTGCTGTGTACACATTTCCTCAGAGGAGTCAGGAAGAGAATAAAGGAGAGCTTCTCGTCAGGAGCTTTCCCCTTATTGCTCACCAGGAAGGCAGGACAGGGCCTCTCATTTTAGTGACTTTGTAGGCAATAGAATTATTTGGGACACTGGGAAAAGGAAACAAGGATATAAGAAACGCACCCTATTTTTCAGTGCTCTTCTTACCTCATATCTACTCCTGACGCACATGAATACTTCTTTTTGGGGGACTGATTACCCAAAGGTTGGTAATTTAAGTGCTTTTGAACTTGACGATCCAAGGGACAAGGCCCAGGTGTTCCCAAATAAAGATGCCTTTGGGAGGAGGTCCAGAACCCCACCATAAGTGGCCAGCTGCCCCTCTGCACCTTCCTCTTTTTCTGCCTGAAGGGCCTTTGATTTCCCTGACTTGGCATTCTGTGCCAGGGCCTGCTTCCCACAGCTGCCAGTCAGAGAGCAGCCCCAGTGAGCATTCTTCTCCATGTTTTCCCCCCGTAATGAGCTGGCTAGTTTGTGAGCTGTGGCATAAGTGGTTTTCATTTTCTGACTGATGCTCCAGGAATGCCTTTGAAGTCAGACCACACTGCCTCCCAAAGGACTCTGGGATTCTCTGCCTCAGTTGTACTTCGAGGCTGTGTCTGAAAAGGCCCAGCAAGCCCCCACAGGAAGAAGGAGTGTATCTGAAGCCACATGGATTGGCCAAGTATGAAGGGTCAAGAAAACACTAGAATTGAGAAAAAAAAAAGAGGGGTCGGGACACTCTGGAGCTGTTATGTCCCAGAGGTCTGACGCTTCTGTACTCTCCCTAAATATATCTTCCCTTGACTGGGTGCAGCAGCTGTTTGCTTGCAGAGCTACTTTAGACTGGAATTTAGCACCTGTTCCCCAGAAACAATGGCAGTTAATAGTCTCCCAGCTCTGCTTGCCTGTTCGATCCTGGCACTAGGCAATACAGATGCAAAAAGAAAAGATGTCCCTAAACTCAAGACATTTAGTTTTAATAAGGAGAGACAGAAAAGTAAAGCAGCGAGTAAAAAGTGAGGTGATAAGGACTCTTACACATCTGCACAGGGGAGAGGCGTGAAGTCAGGCTCCTTGGAGGAATACTTGAACTGAAACTTAATTGCCAAGAACTCTTTTATTGCTCTCTACGTGTTCCTTTTTGTCGCATCCAGCTCTTGTTTCATGATGCAATATCTTTTCATTTCTCATTTCTCTCTCTGGGGCTACTGTTGATGTATTGTTTTCAAAGTTTTTGTCTCTCTGTATACTGTTTCCTCTAAATTGCTTGTTTTGGTCTTAGTCTTTCACATTAGATATTTCCTTAAATGTGTGATAATCCTTAGCTGCCTGCTCACACTTTAAAGTGAGGTGCTAAAACTTTCTGTGTCAACTGTGGACTTTACTATAGGGTGATCAGACCAGGCTGTGTCCTTGGGGCTGTGACATCACTGTTTCTACGTCTTTTGTCTTGGGTGTTCAGATTGCGGAGAGAAGGCATTTCTGATCTTCCACTTATGTCTGGGAGTGGAGTTGTGAAGAGGCCTGGAGCATCTCAACAGTCAGCATAGCATTTTCAGGTGATCCTCCTGTTTAAGTTCACACCCCTATCCCCAGCTGAGCCTGGTGTCCCCTAGTGCATGGACCCCCTAGTCTTCCACTGCAGTAGTGAAGGGGATCTGGGGGTCTCACTGTTCCCATATTTTCAGTAGTTCCTCTTGTTTTTAGCTCCACCTTCATCCCACTGCCACCAACTTCTCTTCGGGCTTCTGGGATAAAAGTCTGGCTGCTTCTTGGCTCTCCCTACTTTTGGTTTAGGATTCAGTAGGTCAGTTACTACTTGCCCACCTGCTTTTTGGCTTCTGCTTCCATTCTTTTCGTTTTCCTCAGTTTATACCTAAAAAGTAATAAAAACTTTTTTCTATTATTTTAGTGTGGCTTGGGGAGGGAGCAGAGCTAAATGCATGAATTCAGTGTTTATTTTTTCAAAGTAAAGTAAATATTCTAAGTAGAACTGAGCATTTAGACTTTCGATTTTTTTCTCCCTAGTTTGTATTTGCCTCGCTATACATACTTCTCGAAGTTCTATTTTGACCTCCCTATTTCCTCAATTGTTTTGGTGTCACTCATTCAAGCTTCAGCCTCTGGGTGCCTCAGTTTTCCCCAGAGCTGGAGGACACTAGCAGTGCTTCTCCCTTATTTCCCCAGAAATGAGATTCAATGTCATCAAGTCATCTGGGGCAGCCACTTTGATTATAAAACCACCGCTGCGTATGTGACATATTTCCCAACTGTGGAGAAGAAAAGAAAACACAAAAGAAGAAGTGGTTCTTACCCTCAGGAATTCAGTTTCTTAGGCTAGGTGGTGTTTTACTTTTTTTTGACAAAAGGGGTTTTTATGTTTTTAGGGGAAAGGAACAATGTAAATTGCTGATTTTTATTACTTCATTTGTTGTCTTGTTGGCAGTATTCTTTGAGCTCTTTTTTGTCTCTTATGTTCATTCATACTGTTTCCTCTATCATGCACTTTCATGAAACAGAAAATCACTTGTTTAAGAAAATCATTTACTATTATATCTGTTCATTCCAGCTTTTGAATCCCTTGGTCAGAGTCAGGTGAAAAAAGAGAAAAAAGGAGCATCCGTCCCATCTACCCTAATTCAACGAGGATAACAGGTGCCTCTCTCCCCTGTCTTAGTCAACCTGGGGAGCTGGAGTCTATTTGAATTACTTAGAGAGGCTTTTTAATGCTATTGGTTGTTAAAAATATTGTTTCTCCTGCATAGAGAGTATGCAGAGTATAATCAGAGTAGATCTTAGGGGAAATGGCATCAGGTTCAGAATAAGGTGAAGCTGATTTCAAACATTCTGCATCCAAATGAGACATAATTCAGACTCGAATGTACCTTGATTTTGTTAGTATCCCAATATTCTTTATTTCTTCCTTCACCTCCAGCTAATCTTAAGGGTTATGAGTATACCTGCAAAGTGCCTCGAACCCAGGTTTTCTCAACCTCAGCACCACTGACATTTTAGGCCAGATAATTCTTCGTTGTGGGGGGCTGTTCTGTGCATAGGGTGTTTAGCAGCATCCCTGGCCTACACCCCCCAGATGCCAATAGTAGTCCAAAAGTTGTCACAGTCAAAAACATGTACATATGTTGCCAAATGTCCTCTGGAGGCCAAAATAGCCCCCGGTTGAGACACTGCTCTAACTCAGGTTCATAAATGAAAGCAATTTCTCTTTTCAGGACTCTCTGGACTATTTTTAACCTTTCTTCCCAACTAATTCAGCTCCAGTCCTATGCAGAGGAGAGTCACTGCTGCTCAGTGGCTAGGAACTTAGTCTTTGGAGTCTGACAGACCTGGGTTTCCATCTCGATTCTGTCATTTACTAGTTGTGTGACTTGGCGTGTGATAGTTAATATCTTTGAGCCTTATTTCCTCCTCTTTAGCAGTATAAATAATAACATGTCTTTCACAGAGTTGTTGTGAGAATCAAATGAGGTCACATACATAAAGCCCTGGCACTCAGCATGTACTGAGTGATAGAGATTAATATTAATACTGTGCCCTTGCTTTCCTGTGTCGTTAAGCACCACCCACACACGACACGCATCCACCCCAACTCCTACGCTCTCTCATTCTCCCTCTCAAAGAAATCTCATGGCATGAACATTTCAGCACTCTTGAACTTCAGATTGCTTGCTTTGTTATCAAGCATTTTTAATTCCTAGAAAGAAGCTGGAGGCTCCCTATGTGGACACAGAAAGCTCCGGCGGAGTAGAGCAGGCACTGTGTGACTGGCAGTAGGATGTTTGGGAGAGTTAGAAACACGCTCAAGTTCCAGGCTCCCTGGCCTCCCTGTTAAGAAACAGGATTGGACTCCTAGATAGTCACTGTGATGGAAAATTTGAAAATGACATCCCTCTCCTTTTATACTCCTTCCTTCCTGTGGGAACCCCAGTTATACTTGATAGGATTTGACTCCTTCCCAGGCAGGCTCTTACCTGAATTGTGCAGATTTACAGTCTTCATAGGGTTGTTATCTGATCGTAGAATTGCTAGGACAAAATGAGAAAATGTGTGTGTGACACTTGGCACAGAGCCAGGAATGTATTATGTGCTCAGTAAATGACAGTTGCCATTGTTAGTGCTGCTCCTGTTCTAGTTGCTGTGAGAGAAGGTGTTTGATCTGGATAAAGCAGGCCAGACAGATCCTCAGAATGCCAGACCAGCAGAAAGAGCTTTTGGAGCCTTTTTCTCTTCCCCATTTTATATCTGAAAAATAAAAAAAGAAAGTCTAGGCTATTCCACAGGCTGAACTTCCCTCTTTGGGTTCTTAACCAGCCCGGGAAGGCTTTGCCCCTGGGCTCTGAGAGCTGGTGGTGGTGTTTCCCGTCTACTTGGCATTGCGAGGTGACTAAGCAATAGAAATCACTTGGCCGATACAAAAGAGTGATGATTACAAATGATAATAAATAGAAGTTAATAATACATGACGGACAGACATGAAGTCATTTCAATAAGAAGCCACATTGGCTCAGTTCAAATACTGCTTTCCTGTGCTTTAGAGTGGTCTTTAATATATAATGTTTGCTAAACCAAATGCTTCTGGATTTTTCCCTTAGGGGTACAAGGATATTGCTTCATGGGGGAGAGGTCCAGCTGAGTCTGTTAGTCTGTAAAGCAGAGAATTGCCCCACCGGCTTGACCTCTAGGGGTGGGGGCGGGGGTGTCTTGCAGGTCATGAAGACATATCACATGTACAATGCCGACAGCATCAGTGCTCAGAGCAAGCTAAAGGAGGCAGAGAAGCAGGAGGAGAAGCAAATCGGTAAATCGGTCAAGCAGGAAGACCGGCAGACCCCACGCTCGCCTGACTCCACAGCCAACGTCCGCATTGAGGAGAAGCATGTCCGGAGGAGCTCAGTGAAGAAGATTGAAAAGATGAAGGAGAAGGTGCGTACGTTACGGTAACTGTAGGGGCTGGGGAGCAACGTTCTGGAAGGCAAGGCTGATAGGACTTTCCCAGTGGGCACCAGGAAGAGCAGAATAAGGACGCTCTGGGTTCCTTTAGTGCCTAATGACCAAAAGTGAGTCTTTGCTATGTGCCCTGGCAGGAATACTAGGTCGGTATTGGAAGTTCTTGGGCACCCAGCTCCAAGTTTTTAACCTCTAGCAGATAAACCAAAACTAGTAGTCACATTTCCAAATCCATTTTCCAAATACAGCTTAATATCATGTCGCTTTATTGCTTTAGGCGATGGGAGGAGACTGTAGACCTAGGGCTTGGCTTCAGGTGTCAGGTGTTCAGGGACAGGATAGTGGCCCCTCCTTCAGAGTGGCAGTGCCAGAATGGAGAATGGTATTTGAAGATAGAATCAAAGTGGGCCACGCATCTGAAGTAGGGAGCCTCATTAACCTTTCCTGAAATGATCTACATTATGCCCTTGAATCTCATTAAACAGAATTAGAACCCAATTTAAGGCAGACGCGCATAGGGAGTAGCAGCACAATTCTGGTTCTTGAATGTACTGTACTTTCATCTTTTACAGAACAATCTCCCCTTTAAAAAAAATAAAATTGAACTTCTGTTCCCTTTTCAGCGCCAAGCCAAGTACACAGAGAATAAGCTGAAGGCCATTAAAGCCCGGAATGAGTACTTACTGGCTTTGGAGGCAACCAACGCATCTGTCTTCAAGTACTACATCCACGACCTGTCTGACCTTATTGATGTAAGTGCTTAAAGCCAGGGGCCTCAGGGCACCTCTTTTCTGCTTTCAGAATCCTGGTCAGACGTTCCCCCATTCTGTTGTTCAGACGTCTGGGGCATTTCGAGAACAATTATGAAGGTAGTAGCCACAATCCACCAGGGAGCTTGCCATGGACCAAGTACTAGCACTTTATACTTTATCTCATTCAGTCGTCACTACAATTCTGGGAGGAAAGCATTATTATCTCTATTTTTACAGACTACCATTCAAAGTATTTAGTCATTTACCCAGAGTCAGTTAATATTATAAATGACAAAGGCAAAATTTGCACCTAAGTCTGATTACTAAACCCATGCTTATAAACACTGTGCTCTTCTGTCTGCCAGGAAATACTCCCTTACATCTGCTTCTTGAACACAGAACTGAGTGGCAAGAACTAAAGAGTTAGGATGCCATACCTTACATTTATATATAATAGCACTTAATGCTTCTTGGTATTAACTCATTTGATTTTCACATCACCCTTATGGATAAGCATTGCTATCTCCAATCTGTAGATAAGGAATCTAGGGGTCCAGTGGGTTAGGAGCTTTACCTGCCCAAGGTTACACTGCAAATGAGGGTCCTGTCAGCAAGGTATCCAGATGACCCTGACATCTGGCCCATTTTTGATATGTGGCACAAAGATGATTGAGAAAAGCAGGTTAGTAGCACATGTTTGGCATGGGGCTAGCACAAGGGATAGGCTTTTGTCTTTGGCCTTGTGAGTCAGCCTTGGCCTTGTGAGTCAGCCTTGGCCTTGTTTTTCCTGCTATTTCTCCTCCAACCTTATAGTTGGGTCTTGTAAGCCCTCTCACCTGCAGACTCCAGGCTGGCCCAGTTCCTGATCCAGTCCTAAGTGAAGCTATGTGAGTACATCCTTTCTCACCTCTCCCTCTAGTCAGCAAAGTGAGACGTCTGGAGCCAGCTGATTTAGCATTGGCAGCCTGGTCTCCTGGGCTTGAGGTATATCCCAGCCAATTTTCTCTCTGACACCTGATGTTTGCTTCAGGCTCTTGGCAGCAGCAGCTGGGCCTTACAAGACTCTGGCCAGACCTCGCATGCTTTCCTGCCTCAGTTTCTCCACAAGCAAACCTGCCACACTTACAATATCATGTGGGGTTGTGGACTAAAATTCACTGTTGTATCACTAGCTGGGTCACCTAGGATTGTCACTGAACTGTTCTAGAAATCTGCTTTGTTTCCTACCCCATCCCTTGCCCCCTCTAACAAACTGAAGAACTGGACTAGACCATTGGTACCTAAATCTGGCCTCACATCAGAGTTGCTTGGGCAACTTTTCTAAAATACAGATTCCTGTCTCCCTGCAGCCAGGGATTTTTGATTCAGTAGGTTTTAGTCTCTTAATGCCCTGAGTGTCATTGTCTCACTGGGTAAGTGGAGCCCTGGTCCCTGTCCAAGCACCTCTTTGTTCCCTCTGCTTGTTGATGTCAATCTGAACACTGTCCTTCAATGGAGGTCAAAGCCCTAAACAAGATCCTTTCTCCTCCTCAGGGGAGCAGCTCCTCACGGTTGGGAGAGAGTCCTGTTCTCAGCATAAGTAAGAGAATCAGTTCTTTCTTATGCACAATTTCTGCTATTTACCTTGCATTTGGTAAAAAAATGGACTAGGCAGTCTGCCGCACCTCCTCTACTGGTTTGTTCTTTTCTCCTTCTTTTGCCCCCGGGGCAAGTTCCTAACCTTTTGCACCAAAATGCTGACCTCAGGGGCAGAGAGGGGATACTGCTGTTTCAGTCACTGCCTGTGCCATCCATAGACTGTCCATCAGGTGTGAGCAGGTGTTTTCAGATCAGTCCAAGAGGCAAGCTATCTTATTCCTTACTATCGTGTTAAAAAAAAAGTGTCTGTGAAGAGCCTGATTGCACAGGATATGGCGTAAAGTGCCTTTGAAGAAGAAGCCTCTTCAGTACTCAGCAGGCCGTGGGTCCAGGTCGCTGTGAGCAAGTCCAGGCCACCTGGGTAGTAAAGTCGCTCTTGTTTCTTTACTGCAGTGTTTTGGTTGTATCTTGTTTTATTTTGTTTGTTTATATTTTTCCTAAGATGAGAACAGGTTCTTTTTTTTTAAAAAAAATAAAAGCTGATAATATGACTCTGCTCTATAATTGTTCAGTAAATATTTATTTGGGGTGAGGCTATGTGCTCAGCATCAGGGATACAAACGGAATGTAGTGGTTTTTGCCCTGGAGGTATTCATAGACTCTATGACAGTGGTTTTCAAACTGTGGGTCAGAGCCATTAGGGGAGTCATGAAATCACTTTTATGAGTTTGACCTGATTTTTCAAATGAATAGACTAGAATTAGAAAGAAAATATCAGGGTGTATCACACTAGGAAGGTTAAGTTTTATTTTGTGAAATTTTTATGTCCCATGTGTATGTACATGCACGTGCACCCATGCGCGCGCGCGCGTGTGTGTGTGTGTGTGTGTGTGTGTGTGTGTGTGTGAAAATATAAGATGTATTTCTTACTCGGAGTTGGGTGTCAAAGAGAAGTTTGAGAGCCACCATACTATGAACAGGAGAAGATCTCTAGGTCTTCTCTGTAAGTTCCGTGAGGGGAGGAACCAAGAGTTTTCTTTACCTCAGTAGCCCCTGTGTGTTAGTACATAGCTGAGCACATAGTACGTTCATTGAAGGAAGAACGGAAGAGGAGGAGGAAAAAGATGATCCCCTAAGCCAAGATTTGTTTTTCTTTTTGTGCCTTTGAATATTGTTTTGAGGTATTAATATAATTTACATTCAATAACTGAATTTAAATGTTAAAGCTTCCAGAGTTATTGATAAATTTATAGATGCTTGTGACCTACATCTGTATCAAGATATAGAATAAATATTTTGATGAAAGATATATTTCTGTCACCTCAGAAAGTTCCTCTTGTCTCTTCCTAGTCAATGCCCCACCCCAAGGCAACCACTGTTATGATTTCTTTCACTACAAGTTCATTGTGCCTGTTATAGAACTTCATAAAGATGGGATTGTACAGTATACACTTTTTTCTACCTGGCTTCTTTTGCCTAGCATGATGTTTTTATGCTTTATCCATGTTTTTTGCTTTTTTGCTTTATCCATGTTGTTTGTATCAGTAGTTTCTTCCTTTTTCTTGCTGGTCTATGCAATAAAAGGGGCCAAAAGGATGCTCTGGCAATGAACCAACAGTTAGAGCAGGAGTAAGTGAGGAGCGGGAGTAAGTGGGCATGTTGGCATCCTCATCTTGACAGTATCCAGAACTTGCTTTAAGACAGGGGATGAATCTTGTTCCAGTCCATTGCCATCTGTCCATACACCATTCTGCCTCCTTCCTAAGGGTTTTGAAGCTCAGCGTGTGCTTAAGGCATTGAGCATAAGTGAAAAGAAGTTATTTTTGTCGATGCCATTACGTTGACACAAGGACTAGCCTTCAACTTCTTTTTATAGTGTGGCACAAGATTTAAACTCAGACTGTAGGAATCCACGTGAGGCATCTGACACACCAGGAAAACCCTGACTTCAAGCCAAAAAGACATTCTGAGCTCATTTGATAGTGTCTAAGAACTGTAGGCTCATTGGAATGTAATCTTCCTCCCCCGTACTCCTGTGGCTCTCTCAACACAGGAGCAGATGGACGAGTGAAGAACAGGGCATTGTCCTCGTGCATAGCTGGAGTGTTGTGAGTGCCATGTACGTGGACAGAGAGTCGGTGACACCATGTGCACCCAAGTCAGACATGAGGGAACTTGGCTTGTTCCGTAAGAAATTGTATCGAGGGCAGTTATTTTTCTCTGCTGTGTGAACTTGAAGTAGGTGTTATGAAACACTCATTTTTCTTTCTTAGGCCTTCTCTGGAGTCTCTGGGTGAGGATATCAGCTGGTAAAGGGTTAATGGGCTATCAACTCAAGTCATCATACATCTGGATGGGCTGTCATTAAATTCTTATAAAAATTTGATTTCCCCTGAGAGATTTTTCATCAAACATTTATATAACCCAGAAATGGCTAGGGGAGCCCAGCGTGGCCACAGAACTCATCAGAAGCCATGGAAAGCATGCCTTGTCCCTATTGTGAGCAAAATAATGTGCTGCCTCTACTTCCTGGGATTCTCCTGGGAACAGGATGAAATATTCAGATCTCACTTACCTAACCTTGCCAGATACTGCTTCTTTGCTAAAGGCTGGGTTTCTGGCTGTTGCCCTTGCAGGTATGTTGATAGCCAAGATTCTGGAAAAACTCTTGCAAATCTCCCTGGTTGGCTAGAGGCATGGAGGAGCCAGGGGGCACACTGTGAGTGAGACCCCCACTCCTGGACACAGAAAAGCTTCAGAATTGTTATGTACAGACAGTGCATCAGCCTGGGAAAACTCCCAGCCTTCCTTTGGCCAAACAGAGTGAGCAGAACAAAAGGCTTCAGTGGCTTCATCTATCCACTTGACTTAGGTCGGTATTCAGCCTAAGTGTGTTGTTTCCTGAGAAGCTGGAATCTGTACTTGTGGCATCAATCAATGGGAAGTTTATTAACTGCCTGCTGTGAGCAAGGCTTAATGGCGAGAGATATAAATAAGGATGAGTCACTGGCCAGACCCTCAGGAAGCTTGCCTTCTGGTAGGGGTGAGAAGAAATGGCAAGTCACAGAACGAGGGAGTGTATTCTGTATCACACAAGGGCTGCAGATGACTGTGGTTCTGAGTGAGGGCTGTGGTCAGTGGAGGCCAGGATCGCAGAGTTGCTGGCTTCCCAGAGGCTGGAAATTTGATTTGGATCTTGAAGATCTGGTCAAATTCTGGTAGGTGAAGGAAGAGGAAATTCTAGGAGCTGAGGGGCAGAGGTCAGTGGATTTGGAGATATATTGGTGTTTGTTTAGTGTCTACATGGTGCCAAATATATGGAAATATATTGCCCGTTAGCCTCACAAAAACCTATGAGACTGGCGTTATCCTCATTTGAGGCGCAGAGAGATTAGCTTTGCTAATGGGCATATATGGCTGATTTGAGACCTGTGCTTTTCTAACACTCTCCCCTAAACAGAGTACATCACTGGTTCAGAGCAGAAGAATCTAAAGAAGATAGAGGGAGCTGGTGTTGGATGGCAGAACTGAGGACAGATTATAATTTGTTCTGGCTGTTGGACCTTGCTCAAGTTATTTATCTTCACTGAACCTCAGCTTCCGAGTCTGGAAAATTAAGATAATACTGAGCTCATTGGGGTTATCGTGAGGATTAAAATAGAATGTATATAAAGCACTTAGCACGCTGACTGGCATGTAGTAAGCACACATAGTGAACAGAAGCATTTTTTTTTTTTTTTTTTTTTGAGACAGAGTCTCACTCTGTTGCTTGGGCTAGAGTGCCGTGGCGTCAGCCTAGCTCACAGCAACCTCACACTCCTGGGCTCAAGCGATCCTCCTGCCTCAGCCTCCCAAGTAGCTGGGACTACAGGCATGGCCACCATGCCCGGCTAATTTTTTCTATATATTTTTAGTTGTCCAGCTAATTTCTTTCTATTTTTTAGTAGAGACGGGGTCTCGCTCTTGCTCAGGCTGGTCTCGAACTCCTGAGCTCAAACGATCCACCCGCCTCGGCCTCCCAGAGTGCTAGGATTACAGGCGTGAGCCACTGCGCCTGGCCGAAGCATTTTCTTAATTTCCAAACTGAGGAAGGTGGATTTTACCTTAGAAAAAAATGAGAGGTATTTTAGGTTCTTCAGCAGGGGTGTGGCAGAATAAAAGTCACGTTTTAGGCAGTGAAGCAGGTGGCACTGCTGTAAGATGGTAAGAGTATGAAAGAAGGTTCAGGTGGTGGGAACGGAGAGGAAAAGGGAATTACCAAAAATAGGTAAAGGTTTTTGACGGGCACCTTTCCTCCCCCTAATTCCACCCCTTGCCCACCTGCCCCCCGACATACACGCCGTGGGCAGTGTCACTTCTGCTCGTTCAACTTACAGGCACGGAGTTGATCCTCAGGTCCACACAGGGCTAGTCAGGAAGGCTTACAGGTCCCAGGGCAGCCTGGCGAGACCAGCAGCATCTCCCAGAGGTGGGAGGATCCCGCACGTGCAGCCTCCTAATCAGCCGCTTTTGTCTGGCTCCCTCTTGCTCTTCCCTCCCGGCTGAATGAATGTCTTTCCACCCTCTGCCTCTAGTGAAGCTGTAACTGCTGTTATTCCGCTGCAGCCAGGCACCTGCCAGGCGCTGTTGGCACTGCACCCAGAGCCCAGCCCAACGGATGCTCTCACTGAGCTTCTCGTCAGATGCCAGGAAGGAGGAGGCATGTCGCATGCTTTTTCTTCCCCAATAGTGCCTGTTCCCGATGTGATCATGATGAGAGGGAAAGGCTCGGGAGAGAGTTAATGTGATACTTGCTTGTGCAATGAGATGGCAGTCAGCAGATGGCCTTACTCTCTCCATGGATTCTCCTCTAATGTTTCTTCTCAGGTTCTGGACCTCTAAGATGCTTAAGCAGTAGAGGCGATAATGGGTGGCCAAAGAATCAGGATCTCTGGGTCCTTTGGAGGGGTGGGGAATGTACTCACAGAGTTACAGAATGCCATTGCTGAAGAGGGTCTTAGGGATTACATTTCATCCAAGGATTTTCAGACTTTTTCTCTAGCAAAAGAATTCTTTCTTCAAAACCGACCTTACACAGAATCCCAGAATGTTAAATAGGGAAAAGAACAGAGCTGGCTTGGTTGAAGGAGGGATAGGAGGCTCCAGGTCCTACTAGTTGGGTTGCCCTTTTACCCCCTTCTCAAGGGCAGCCTGAGAGCTGGCACAGAACCTTACAGCTCTGGTCTACAGCTTGAAAACCACTAACCTGGTCAAGTCTGTTCATTGTACTGTGAAGGAAACAGGTTTGGGGATGAGGAGTGACTTTTCCAAGGTCGCTTGATTCTGCCTCCAGTATTTTGTATTTTTTATACAATTGCCTCTTCCATAACAGTTTCTTTTTTCATTCTGCTGTCGAAAATCAGAATCCCTTACAAGATGTGAGTTTTGCCAGTAACACTATGCTTAGAACTTTTTAGTCTTATAAAGGCTATTTCTGTAGGGCAGGGGCATCTGTTGTCAGATGCTGGGAAGGAGGAGGCATGTCAGAAATCCAAGTCTACAGCTCAGGCCTGCCTAGAGCGCTGGGAGTCGGTGGGGATGATAATCCACAGAGTCAGCCCCCCATTCTCTTCTTCTCCCACCTAGAGTTGCGTTTGCATAGATTAGCTGCTGTTGCAACACTCCTTTCAGGCCCTTAAATGCTGAAATGGCCTGGCTTGGTTGCTACGTAGTGACTAAACCATAGTAACCCTCAGGGAGTGGCAGGCTGTGTTTTTATTGTTGAATTTTGTTATAAGGGCATCCCCAGATAAACCTGAAAATGGAAGAAGATTCTCTTTAACTCTCCACTCTTTTCATGTTTATGGACTAGTACTATACAGGGCTTAATTAAATAATGTCATCTTGTCCTTATGAATTTTCTTCCTCTAACCACTGCACAGTCCTCTCTGTTTAACCATTGAACTGGGAGTCAAGAACTGACACCTCTCACCCAGACCTTGGAAGTCAGGGTGTCAGCCCTCTTTCCGCCGCACAGCCAGTCTCACTGACGCGGTCAGATCTGCCCTGAGCACCACCCTCCCTCCCCTCCAAGCCGTGGATTGGTCCATGGTGTGCTCATGTGCCTTCTCCTTCCCACAGCAGTGCTGTGACCTGGGCTACCATGCCAGCCTGAACCGGGCTCTGCGCACCTTCCTCTCTGCTGAGTTAAATCTGGAACAGTCAAAGCATGAAGGGCTGGATGCCATCGAGAATGCGGTAGAAAACCTGGACGCTACCAGCGACAAGCAGCGCCTCATGGAGATGTACAACAACGTCTTCTGCCCCCCTATGAAGTTTGAGTTCCAGCCCCACATGGGGGACATGGTGAGCCCCTCTCCCCATCTTCACACCCTTCCCCAAGGGGCTTGATTATACCTGTGTCTAGATTCATTACACAGAAGCCACGTTATTTGGGGGAGTGGGTGGGGGAGGGAGGCCTGGAACCGGCTTCCTGTCGGGCGGGTGAGGCACATTCCACTCACTGAGCACGCAGTTACTGAGTGCTGCTGTGCACCAGGCTCGGCTGTAGACAATAGTGCCTGTTCCCAATGTGGTCATGGCTGTAGACATTGGAGATTAGAGTCCTCGGCGAGCTTACACTCTGAGATTAGGAGAGAGTTAGAAATGTGCATAGGGAGGGGCATCTGAAGGGACTGAGCAGGATCATTGGTTTTGATTGGGTCAAGTGCTTATCCCTAGGCCAATCCCAGGTATCTGCAGCTGGCTGATTGGCTTATGCTGGGGTCACATGCTCCAGCCAAAGCATAGGGCCTGAGTGGTGGAGTGGGAGGTTCCCCCGGAGGGCAGTCAGACCAAAGTTGCCAAAAGAAGGAAGAGTGGATGCTAGGTGACCAAAAAATAGCAACGTGCTCTCCCTAGGAATGGTGCTTCCCTTCGGATTAGTATCCAGATTCTCTAGAAATATCTGTACCAAAATGACAGCTGTAGCAGTGTAAACAAAGGATTTGCTGTCATCAATAGGCCACTATGGAGAGGAGGTCATTTCTGTCCTAAAGACAAAAATGTGGAGATGATTTCTTTCCTCTCCTGCTTAGGGAAAATCAAACCATTCACAGTTTGCTTCCATTGCTGTGGCTTAGGAAATGTCAGTGTCTGAACAGATGGGGAAGTGAGATGCAGCATGTGCAATTAGAATTGAGGGAAGGGGTGTCACCGAGCCCCAGGAAGCCCCATTCCTCACCTGCCCTGGCTTCTGGTCAAACTTGCCTTCCAAGCCCTTTCTCCAGCTGCTGCTGAGATTCCCTCCCAAGGATCAGTGGAACTTGGGGACCAGCTGAGTGGAGTGATACATTTTCCGGTGTTGACTGGGTTGCCTTCTTAGCCAAACAGCTTGTCTCCATAAAGGGGGAATCCAGATGCTGGGTGCTCAGGCCCCCTCCCAGCCCTGTCAGAGTTTTATTTCCATACTCCAGAGTACAGCTGGAATGCATTACCTTGCACCCCGGTAGCGGACCATTGCCAAGCGTGCATCGACAGCTCTGTTGCTTCTTAAAGGAACAGGCTTGGAGGTGATTTTCCCTCCATGATTCCTCCCTGCTAGGTCTGGTTTACTTTAAAAATCAATAGCTCACTCTTCTGCCTGGGCCCTCCCTTTGTGTGAGATAGCAGATCCGTGCCTGAGCCAGGCAGCAGCCAGGGCCAGTCCTAGAGCTTGTAAAGGGTCTGTATTCCAGCCTAGCCTTCAGATGAGTGAAAATAAAATGAGATGAGAGGGTGAGTCGTTCTTGGTCCCTGCAACCAGTCTACCCCCATCAGTGTGGGCTGTGTGTAGATTATGCAGGCAACAAGAGGGAGCTGCCTGGAAGTCCTTGAACTAGGGCCAGAGTTCGGGTGGCATTTTGACCGGAAGCCCTGGAATTGGCCAAGGCCCCACACTGACTGGTGTTCTGGGGCGCTCAGCACGTGAAATGATGCCAAGTGCTCTCAGATGTACTAGGAGGAGGTACTTGGCTCCACTCTTGGTGCCCCCAGAGGCTTGTGGGGCTCTGGATGCCTGACCGGTGACATCAGGCAGCCAGAGAGTTTCACTCTTGGCGCTAACACATTCTGGCCACTGAGCTTTCTCCATTGTGTCTGATTATCCAAGAGCCAGAGTGAAGTCAGCTCTCTTCAGATCTGAGAGCTGGCTCGGGCCAGCCTTTCAGCTGCGGGAGGAGGTCAAGTCAGTTGGGAGCTTAAAAGCCAATGGAGGAAAAGGTCAAGTCCCAGCCCCCTCCATTTGAAGAGAGGTTTTGTCTTTTCAAGCAAGAGAACGAACGGTCTGTGGGCATGTGAATGTGCCCACTGATTGCTGAGGAGGACGGAGGCCCGTTCTATGCAGATATCTCTCTGCAGACAAGAGGCTAGAGGACACATGGTAGTGAGGTGACAGGAGTTGCCTTCACATGGGTCCTGCCTCCCAACTCTCCCAGCCTTCTGTTCCTCATCCGTCATCCTGGGGACTGTGGGCGACCTCATGCCGTAGGCACACCCCTATCTGGAGACAATGGATCAGCTATTCCTTCACACGGGGGAAAGCTAGCTGACAATAATCTTTGAGGGAAAGGCAGACTCCTCTCCCACGGAGATCTAGTGATGGCCTAGGGTAAAATGATGGCTCTTTGGAAAATGCTAACTTCCACCAGATTCCGTGCCCTCTGGGGCCCTCTAGCATAGCCTATGATATGATCTTGTTCCTGGCTTCACGTTCTCTCTCACTGAATCAGAGCTCTCACATGGAGCCTGGATTTATAAACACATGCTGGCTGCCAACAGCAGCAAGTTAGCCTCCTGACCCACTTCTCTCCTGCTTTCACTCTGGCGTACAAAGGGGGATGAGGGAGGGGCCAGAGAGGTGTCCACTTGGACCTCTAGCCGGAAATCTTCACTGTGCCAAAGCATTGTGTTTCTGGAGCTGGGGCTGCCTGCGGCACTCTTCTCTAGCACCTTCAGCCTTCCACGGAGCTGCTGCCCCTGCCAAGCAGCAGCCTAGAGGTGAGCTCCAAAGAGAGACCTGGTCTTTCCAAACAGATTCCCCTCCCCATTCCTTTCATGTGCTATTTGGTCCTGAAAGAGGTCCACACACATTGGCTTTGGATTTCGTTTCAACATAGAAACTGCAAGCCTTACACCTTGAATATAAGTAGTTTTATTACCAGTAGTGGGAACTCTGGAACCACCACAAGAACCGTATCCCCTTCCTGACCTGGTGTTGCTTTCTTTTGTCAGGCTTCCCAGCTCTGTGCCCAGCAGCCTGTCCAGAGTGAGCTGGTGCAGAGATGCCAACAACTGCAGTCTCGCTTATCCACTCTAAAGATTGAGAATGAAGAGGTGAGTTTTCTGCCTAGGAGGCTCAGAGCCACCTTTGGAGTTCCCCTGTTGAACCTCTTGCTGCTGCCCATCTGGGAGCAGGTGGAAGGAGCACGCAGAGAATGTCCGGGCTGCCGCAAACATTTCCTAGCCAAATGTAGGCTTGGACTTTCCCCCTCTGCTACATCCTGCCCTTGAACTCCAGGAAGTTGCTCTTGCATTGCCAAAGGTTGTGCTCTATTTTGAGCTTTTGTAAAATGCTTTTTTTCCCCTCTACACATTTAATCAAAATGGCACTTGGCAGCTGTCTGAACAATATTGTGTCTCTGAAGCCACCCCCTCATGCCTAGTTTTTTCCAGCATTTTCAAACAAACAGAGGCCTTTGACTTTGACACTTCAAACGTCTCCATCCTCTTAGGAAAGGGTGACTTTCTTCTGGGCCCAGTATATTTGCTTTCAACAACCAGTTCAAAAGGGCAGTGTGATTGATGATCCAGCTTTGTGTAGAGCTCAGTTGGCTTCTTACCTTGCATCTCAATAAGTCTTATTTTTCCCAGGAAGATCAGGAAGGATTGGGGATTGGTCACTTAGTGTGCAAATGAGGAAACAGGTTCATCAATTTGTTGAAGGTCATGAAACAGGACCTGGGGCTTTGCAGGACCAGGCCCATCACACATTTTAACTACCTGTGTGTACAGTGGGGTTGGTTTGGATTTTTTTTATTCTCTTTCCCTTAGCACTTCCATTATAACGAAGAGCTAATATTAAATTTTAAAAGTTAACATTAAATAAAAGAGCTAGGTCTAATACGTAGCTCGAAGGGGGTAGTAGCTTTTAGGTTCTCATTGGAGCGAGTAGCGTGCTGTTCCGGAATCCGTGTGATGTTTATCACTCCCTTAGCGCTGTCCAGTGGGAACAGAGCTGCACCCTCTGGTGGCATTCTCCGTCCTTCCCCAGCCCTGTCCCTCCCCCACTTCTCCAAGCTTCTCCGTCACCTGCTTTTCTGCAGCCCCCTCACCCCCATACTAACGTTATGTTGGCCCTTGTCATTGCAGGTAAAGAAGACAATGGAGGCCACCCTGCAGACCATCCAGGACATCGTGACCGTCGAGGATTTTGATGTGTCTGACTGCTTCCAGTACAGCAACTCCATGGAGTCCGTCAAGTCCACGGTCTCGGAAACCTTCATGAGCAAGCCCAGCATTGCTAAGAGGAGAGCCAACCAGCAAGAGACAGAGCAGTTTTATTTCACGGTAAGGGAGCTCGGTGGCCTTTAAAGAGCATCAGCACAGCAGCACACAAGGGAGATTTGGCACTCTCTGTCCTTGTCAGGTGTCTGAAGGGCAGGCTTTGAATACTGTAGATTTGAATCTGGGCATACTCTGAGACCATCCCTACGCTTAAAGGAACAGACATCTACAAGTTGTGTATAACTCACAGGGACCCCCAAGAGAAAGGATGCTCCCAAGTATACTACTAAGGAGATTTTCTTTTTTAGGAAATTTTTAACCAGCTAGTAGGCATTCATTTGAAAGCTTCCTTCT